ACTGCTACCTCACAAGTGGTTTTGTTTGTGAGCATAGCAGACTTGTGGTTACGAAACCTAACCCGAAAATCGGTGGTAGTTGATCCTATGTACTGTAAAAGACATTTCTTGCAGGAAACTAAATAGATCACGTTTTTAGAATCACAAGAAAGCCTTGAATGAATGGTGTATTTTTTTGTTTTTGTTTTTGTTTTGGAACTTCTCAGACTAAGCAGATTGCTAATAATTATTAGGCTAAAAGGAGTGCCAATAAGGGTTGGCAATGGTCTGTTGGCTGGAGTGCTAATCAGGCTAACCAGGCTGCTTTTAGGCAGAAAACAGTGACTAATGTAGATACTTGAACTTGAACTAGAAACTCAGCTCCAAGATCCAAACTCTGACACAAGTTTGAGTTCATGAAATGAAAATCTCTGCTCTGTTCATAAACAATCCCTTCTGTAGGGGAAGTATGGATATTTTCTGGAACTACACATTTCAGTATTACCTAATTCAACCTCTTTCCTAAAGCGAGTCTTGGTGTCCATCAAAGAGGAGCTTAGGGCAACTCGGAAATGGGCTGTTCCTTGTTGCCCAGGCTGAGGAGCACATTATTTTAAGAGTAGACATGCTATAGCAGACTTGATACAATCAAACCTCTTTGATATGGACAGATCCAAGGGGCAGATCTGAGTGTCCCTAGTATGGACTGGGGAATGCCGTATTTTAGAGGAAGAGATGACGTGAATTCTGGTTTGGCTGGGATCAAGTGAACTGTCCTTAATATAGAGATGTCTGTAAATGTGCGAGGAGAAGTTTAACTGTATTGTGTGCACTGTTTGAAAAATACATAAGCCTCCTTAAACTCCATAGAATGCATGACTGCTGTTCCAGTGTTGTGAATTGAGATCATTTTAGTTATTAATACTTCCTGCAGAAATCTTGGTTTTACAAAACAGCTTTGCCAAAACTCAAGAAGAATTAAAATTTTAAAAGAACAAATGCATCTAGTAACTTGCAACCAAAAAAAACCTTAAAGGTATGTAATTTTTGCAACCAACCTTAAATTAAACTTAAAATTTAATTTCTTTTTTAACTATGGAACAGAATACTCTTATTGAAGTGATGACTTTGAGTAGTAAATAAATGAGCTTTTGAAGGCTTTTGTTAACATGTCACGTAACTATCACAAGTAAACTCGTAAAACCATGGGACGAGACAATGCGCGCCCAGAGGATTTTTATCACAACACATATCGTGCTTATAACATCCCGAATACCAACAGCAATCTCCACACACCCATGTCCAGCACGTGCAGCTAGGACCACACATGCCTGTACAAGTGTTGTTATGTGGATCACTTGTCAGACTGCTGCAACGCTTATTTCTTTTGCCGAGCTGTTCAGCGGTTTCATCATCTAAGTCATACCCAGCTCTCAGTTCGACTGGAGTCTGAATGTTAGACGTCTTCAGGAGATTGAAACACAGGGCATGAAACGGCTTCAGAATGTCCAGTTGGGTGGAGTTGTTGTTCAGCGCTACGGACACGAGTTCTAGAAGTTGAACTTCCTGAACGTAGTGCAAATCCCGTACAGCTTCTTGGTAGTTTGTTTTTAGCGCCTCAAATTCTGTGGCTGTTTTCTCGGCGGTTTGGGCCGTCACCAGAAACTCACGGATTTCAGTCACCACGCTAAGAATGTCATCGGGAACGTAAATCATTGACGGACCGTATCTGCAAATCAGATAATATGACGTCACGTTGGTTTTGTGTACAGCGCGTGTTTTAGACCTTTAGATCCACGTTTACTGCGGTTTGAGATTAGAAGTTTGCCGTTCGCCGTTGTTAAGTTGATCGATTTAGATTGCCGTTGCAGTAAACTGGAGCGAATAGAAATCATCCTGTCAATGCATTGGAACTTTTCGAAAGTACACCAAAAAAAGAATGAAAGAAAATAGTATGTTTTTCAGCACGCTTAGCTTTCTAAAGAAATAGAGTATCACAAAACACGCATCCACCATAATGGATTTCCACTAAGGATCATCAGTGCCTTTCTACCTCTTTCTACAAACAACAACAAAAGGCTAGGTAATTGCTTATTTGGCTAAAAATTATAACCAATTTGTAGAAAAAAGGTTACTGTATTCAAAATAACACGCAAACTGCGGTGATAAACATGGCAATAAAACGCATGTTAAAAAAACAAAGTTCATCTACTTGACGTTTCGCATGTTTCAACATACATCTTCAGAAGTGACCGTTGGGAATAGAAGTAACACCTAAATTTCAATTTAAAATAAGTAACTAATTAACAATAACAATGACAGAAGCTGAGAAAAATTTGCATATAAACAATGCAAAC